ACTATCCAAATTTGAAGCTTCTAGCTATTATACTTTAGGAGATATAAACTTTTGCGATTTGCTACGCCCCCTGTGGGCGGACATATATCCGACAAAGCTTTTTGGTCTTGGGTGATCAGTCCGAAAATATATACAAAATTTGAGGTCTCTGCCATCAATAGTGTCAAAAATATAGGAGAATTTAAAAAATCACTATATCTTCAGGTCCGATTTGCCACGCCCCCAATGGGCGTAGACTTATAATTTATCTTTAGACTTTATAGAATCATACCATTAGCTGACGTGCAAAATTTCAGCATTCTAGGATTACAACTTTAGGAGATACAGTTTTATGCGATTTGCCACGCCCCCAATGGGCGTAGATATATCCGCCATAGCTCGTGATCTTGGGTGGTCAACGCGGACCTACATACCAAATTTCAGCTTTCTAGCTCTTCAACAAACATGATTTCTGGTATATCGGAAAATGCATTTTCCGATTTGCCACGCCCCTAGTGGGCGGATCGGGAAAATTTTAACACTTTATAAATCGGAGATATACACGAGTATGTGTTCCAAATTTCAAGTCTCTAGCTTCAATAGCGCCGAAATAGATTGCGTTCATACGGACAGACGGACAGACGGACGGACGGACAGACGGACAGACGGACGGACAGCAAGACGGACATTGCACAAAACCAATATACTGATTCACTTTCGTGAATGAGTATAAAAAAAAAAAAAACCTTGACTTTCACGAAACAATGAAATGTTTGTAGAGTGTTATAGATAGAAATATAGAGTCGCTGCTCTACTCTATATACATAGCTGATTTACCCACACCTAGCGTGCACCACATGGAGATTCCTAGCTTTTCTCGCTCCATATGCAGAAGACATTGCAGTGCTTTACAGTTTAAAATGTTGCACGGAGGCAGCAAATGGAGTGGAAAGCTATCTGAATACACTGGCAGCTTGGTGGAAAAGATGGGAACTAAAGGTAAACCAACGGAAAACCATCAACCCATGCTTAACCTTGAAAACACTCATCAACTACACCTTCCCATACGAGTATGGGGTTTGCTTTAAATGGTCAAAAAAAATGTCAGATAGCACATCAATGAGCTTCCAATTTATTGATGGGGGAGCTTGTAATACAAGACAACAGTGTGTAGTCATAAATTTGTACTCATATAATCTGTGAATAATAGTTATACACGCACAATAGTGTGTATGCTTTGGTGCCATTAGCTTTGTAGATTGTAGTCTTTGTTTGCCCCAGAACAACCCGTGGGTAGCCAGGAGGACAGAGATAAGCTCGGATTCTACCTGGGCAACATAATTGTCTGCCTATTAAAGTCAAAAACTGGAAACAAGAATACAATTCCAAAATATGTTAAGGTTCTAGCAGTATGTACGATGTCCAGCTGTTATTACACATTGTCGTCGAATATTTTGAAAAATTCTTGAGATCCTGTATGTACGAACAAAGCTGTCGCAATTTCGCAAAAATTCGCGGACTTCGCAAGGCGCTGGAATATTAACATTAACAGCTGCAAAACCGTCCGATGTATGCTAATCGCTGAAACGGAGAACGCCCCAACAATGCTTATAAGCTATTATAGGCAAATGATGCTACTTACAATGGAGGACAAAAGTATTTTCACATTCCTTTTCATATTCATTTTCGGTAATTCGATTACGTTACAAAAGTACCAGATTTATAGCAGGTTGCCAAAAAATATTCGCAAAGAAAACAGATCTGTGTACGAGCGGGGGTCACACGATAAAGAATCGGAAATGCTCTGGGCTTTCGTTTGCGTCAATAGCCTGTGCTATTTGATATTCATTAATGGAACAGTCGCTGCTAACTGCGCAGTCAGCAGAGCGCGTGATTATATGTGCGTGCATAAAAGAAGTGCAGAGTGAGTAGAATATCAGCTTGGAGGGTTCAGGGTATCTCCTAGTCGAGCAGTCCTGACTGGAGCCTTCTTACTTGTTAATCCTGTATTGTCAATGCGAGAGCACATTCCAAATCTTAACACTCTATAATTCAAGGGTATACATATGTATCCGTACACATTCAAGTCTCCAGCTTCAATGATATAGAGATAGATTATAGATATTACAATACTTCAAGCCGATTCGAACAACTTTTAAATTTAATTTCACTTCTCTCGTTGTTGCATTGTTTTATTTTCCCGTTTCTGATTCTAGCCTGTCGGAAGCTCTCAAAAGGTTCTCATTCTAGTTCTTGATCACTAAATCAAATCATTAAATATTATAGAAAAGACCCAAAATGTATAACAAAGCTGAAATTATAATTTTAAATATTTGCTAAAAGCTTCACGCCTTAAAACAATAAAACATTTCATATCATTTTTTTTTTTTTTGAAAAGGGAAAAAATGCAATTTTATTTTCAATAAATTGTTATTTTTTGCTCATTTTATTTTGTTAATTAGTTGGTTTTTGCTTTTAATTATTCTCTCTTTGATTTGTTTTGTGTTGCTATTGATGTTTGCATTTGTTGATTTTTTTTACAAATGAGTTCACATGCCTTTACAGTAATCTCTCGTTATATGGCACGCACTCGAGCTTTTTGTTTTGTTTTTTTTTTTTTTTTTTCGAATGATAAACTTTTTATTGAATGCTGAATTAGTCGCTTAATTTGTTGTGAATTTAATTTTTATTTTATATATTTTTTTTAATTTATTTTTTTTTTATTTAAGTTATGTATATTTAAATGTAATTTTTAATATATATGTAAGAAAACATTGATATTCAAATTTTTACGCTTTCGTTACGATTTTTTTGTTTTTTTTTTTTTTTTTGGAATGCTTTTTATTTTATTTTTTATTTTTTGCTCTTCTTTACTTCATGATCTTGTTTCGTTTGTTGCTATCAATTGGTTTATTGTTTTTTAAGTAATTTGTTGCTGGTGTGTTGTTGTTGCTATTTTAAATGGTACAAATAGAAATACAAATACAAATTCAAATACGAATACAAATCATTTGCTTAATCGTTAAATATGTTAACATTTTCTCTCATATTTTTATTTAATTTCTTTCATTTTTCTTTTCAATTGTTTGCGGCTCATCGAAGTTTTCTTTCTTCTTCTATTTCGTTTTCACATTTACTACAAAGGAAAATGAAATCAGTTGAATATATAAATAGAATAATTATATAATTTATGGAGCAGTACATAATAGAATAAACATACATACATATATAATAATAATAATAATTATTATGGAATATACATTGATAATACAAACTAAAACAAAACGTAAAACGTTCGCGCTACAGTAAATGGCCAAAGACTGTGTTCTTTTATCCTTTATTTATAATTTATTTTGTTGTAATCGGAAATGTTTATGTTTCTAGTGACAAATTCATTCAGCTTTTGAGACACTGTGCATATATATATATAAGATAGCGTAAAGTGAATAAATATATAATTAAGACAAAAAAAAATCATATGTAATAATAATCATGTCGGTAATGATTATGTATGTATATATATATATATATATATACATATATGATATACATACATAGATAATCATAATCATAATTGTGTAAATTGTAAATATCACAAGCAGACGTCACTTGCATCGTATATATATATATATATATATATATACACTATATATATATATATATATATATATATATATATATATATATATATATATATATATATATATATATATATATACATGAGTGTGTTTGTGAGTGGTGTAGGTGTGTGTATGTGTGTGCGACTGTGTGTATGATTGCAATGATTTCTATTACTTAAATTAACTGAATTGTTGCTTTAAGAAAACATACATATGTATTTGCTTTATGTTAGACGCGATACACACATACACACACTCACACACACTCACACTCACACACACTCACACACATAGTTGCTTAACTTTTGCCTCGATTAAACAAAAAAAAAAAAAAAGAGTTCTTTGTTTTAACATATTTTCAGTTGTTTCAATAATTATTTTGTTTTTGTTTTCATATATATATATAAACAGCTCTTAAATGTAACTAACATTTTTGTTTACTTCTCTACTAGAAAAATTCAAATTGAGTACATAATCAACATGTTTTGTTTTGTTATTTACTACATACAAATGATGTATCAGACCAAATGTATATATATACATCCGTACATATATATTATATTTGATTGTATTTTCTATATAAAGTTCTATGCATTTCGATTTTGCGTTGGTTTTTTTTTTTTTTTTTTTTTAATTTAATTTTTTTTTTTTTTTTGCTATATTTAAAATTGACTTTTTACATTGTTTTAGCAGCTTTGTGTATATATTTTTTGTGTTCATCTACTGCAAATGCACGAATGAATAATAAAAAAAAAATTATGTATATATATATATACATAATATATATATATATATATGTGTATGTATGTGTGTGTGTTCTGAGTGTGTATACATGTGTATGTTTTGCTTTTATATAATATTTATAATAACTTTTGTAGAATTTTTTCTTATATATTTGAATAAAGTTTTCAATGAGAATCTTTAAATTTGATTTGCTTAACATTTGTTTAATTGGTGCTTTGCTGTGTGTGGTTATGTGTGTGTGTGTGTATGTTTCTATATAAATTTGTTTGTTTGTATGTAATGTTTAACATTCTTCTGCTTTCTCTTTCTATTTCTATCTCTAACTCTATGTGCTAAAGTGCTGTTAATAAACTTGAAACATTTTGTTGCCGCTGTTAACATTTGTTTTCGTTTTTCGTTTTTATTTTTGTGTTTTTGTTCTTGTTGTTGTTGTTGTTGTTGTTGATGGTGGTAGTAAACCCATTGCATAATTTACAAATATCATCATATATAGCTAATATATATTTTATACAATATACATAAGATATATAGCACTTAAAACATAATATGGTTCTATTTCTCTCTGTATCGATTACTGTGACTGTCTGTGTCTGTGGCTATGGGCATCTCATGTATATATCATTTTGGACTAAGTTAATTGGCCTTCTCTATTCTTAATTTCACTTTTTTTTGCTTAAGCTAACGAAATAATTGTGGATACAGAATGGGAAGGGGAACGGAAAGAGAAACGGAAACGGAAACAGGCACACAGCCATATACACAACACACAAATCGAATAATCTGCCATACATAATATACAAAATTGTGATTGAAATACAATAGACTGCGAAGGTGTATGTGCGTGTGTATGTGTATGCGTGTGAGTGTGACTAAGATTGCATTGAGCCGCTCGCTGTGATGTTGCTGGGATGGTTAGGTTGCAATATATATGTATATTTATATATATATATATATCTATATAGATCTGATCAATGCGCCTGATGAGCCCGCAAGAAATCCTTTTAATCGCCGCTGTCCTCCCATTTGCGCTCCTCCATAATCCGATCAAAGCAGTCCGCGAGAAATGCGTGCTACAAAAACGTATAACAGTTAGCACAGATTGAGCGTACAACAGTCTTATATTTATATATATTTACATATGGCGTATAGACTTTGACCCAACGTGGTGGCTTATCTGGACGATTGTACTGAAAGCAAAACGACATGGATTCCTCGTCGCTCTCGGAGCTAGTGATGCTATCCCATGTTAGCTCCACCATTTGCGCCTCCAAAGAGCCATCCTCGCGGCATGCGTGCAGGCGAAAACTTTTCATTCCTGCAAATACATTACAAAATTAGTGGAATGTTTCAAATATATACTATTACTAGCTGTTATTTAAATGGAATCAATTTGAGCTTTAAAATTTAACTAGTTCAGTTATTTCAATTTGGAATCATTAACTCACTTCTCATTGAAATAAACCGTCTTTGATTTCGATTGAAATTTTTATTAAATAAGTTTATCATTCTTTTTATTCTCTTTCAACTGCATTTCCTTGAACCACTTAAAGACGAAGCTTGGCTATACTATGGAAAGCATCGCATAAGTATAGTATAAATTGTGAATCGTTGAGTCACTTGCGAACTGAAATTTGAATCTAAAAACTTCTCACGAATGCAGATCTACCTGAATTGCATGCGAACCAGTTTTGATTGCTAGAGATCTTTTCTTATGACATGAATATACGAATAGTATGGACCATTGATCTGGGACTACATGATCTTATAATATGTTAGCTCAACTATCTTATTTGAACTGTGAAGAAAGCTCTTCTAATATTTATCTACGAGCAAATTATTTATTATTGATTATATAGCTAAACTATAAATTAGCTAAACTCTTCTAGAATTCACCCAAAATGCCTATAAGTCCATTCGTGGACTTTGGGACTCACCCACGGCGGGCACGACATGGCCCTCCTTGCGACTATCACAGGAGCAGTGAGGAAAGACAACATCACCATAGCCGGGCAGTGTGCGGGCCAAGGCGAGATAGTCGTTGGCCTTTTTGGCATCCTGCAATGCTTTCAGCTCGTAGAGACGCCCCTCGGCACGTATATTGCCCCGATTCACCTCATCGACGGCCTGGTAGAAGATGAAGCGCGCCGCCTGCTCGCCATCGGGCAGGGTCAGCTCCTTGCTCACGGAAAAGAGCCAGCGACGCACGCAGAGGCATGTGGATGAGGCGGTGCTGTAGTTCTGCACATAGAGCTGATGCGGAATCTCGTGGGGCTGCAGCTTTCGCTCGAAATTGTATTCAACTATCTCGAACAGATAGAAATATTGTTGCGTATAGGCTGTAAGGTTGGCGCGCTGCACCAATATCTCCCACACCACCTGGGCATTGGATGACTTCTTAACCGATACGCTGGTCACCTCATGGTCGGGCAGCATCACTTTGATGTCCACCGGGGATGCAGATATATCATCCTCCGTGTCGGTCAGGAAATCCTGCACTGCATCGCTCTCGGCTATCACGCGCACCGCGCACACCTTCTCCAAATACTGCTCGAGGCCCCGTCGACGCGTGTCCAGCTGCTGTTCGCTCAGCTGGAAGAGCCATTTGCCCGGCAGCTTCGGAAAGTTGAAGCCGCTGAACTCCTTGCGCAGAGCCGAGTGCAGGTTGGCAAACTCGCGATAGCGACGCGAGCACAGCTGCCTGCCGGCCATGTGGATATTGAAGACAATGTAGCGTTCCCCATTCCGATTCACAATGCTGTAGTCGGGTATGCTGGACAGAGATAGACAGATGATTAGACTGGCGTCGGGATCACTCTGGACAGCAGACCGCAGCAATTACTCACCTGATGGGCAAGGAGCGCTTGTCCGAGTAGTCTATGTAGGAATAGCCAGTTTGATCCTCCTGCGGCTCCAGTCGGTCAGCCTCCTGCTGCGTGACCGATATGACCGTTAGGGTCAGGCAATCGCCGCCCGATTTGATGAGATCCACCACCTGTTTGTGTGTGGCGCCCTCCACGCTGACGCCATTGCTGCAACATACAGAGAGAGATAGAGAGTTTGTGAATAACTTTTGAATATTCAGTGGCTCCAATACCGCCTGCAGCGCTGCTCCATCGCGCTGAGCTGCGCATAGTGAATGCAATGAAAGGGCAACATTCTAAAGGATTCCTGGCTGCTTGTCCGCTAGTCAAGTGCTCTCGGTTTTCAGGCGGCTGCTGCTCGACAGAGTCTGATTAATTAAAAGCAAAAACAAAGACTGAGCCACTGCTCTGAGGTGGACTGATGGAAGATCTGATTCGCTCGCTTGGAGCACCTTGTGGCACTTGGCGCACTGATAAGACGCCGCTGTCAACAGACTTGCCATTCGGGTCAAGTTGAGTTTGTTTACGATAAACTCGAGCACATTCAATGGAGCCCCACTCTACGGCGCTACGGCTCTACGGCTCTCAATCGAAAACAATGGCATGTGGGCTCTGCATGGATAAATCCTAGCGAATTAATCAATTCGAAAACATATATATGCATATGTATATATGAATTGAATTCTTGATGTAAAAGTGCATAGAAGGCAATATTTCAGGGTTAAAGAGATTACGAAAGGCGAAAACAATAGAAACAGAATCCGAATGTGAAAGAGAACTAGGCACAGAGGAGGATTTCAGAAAGAGAAAGAACAAAATTTAAATAAATTAAATCAGAGCGATATATACCAAAATATATATATTGTGAGAGAGAAAGAAAGAGTGAGAGAGAAAGAGAAGCCACAAAAAAGAAACGAAAGAAATATAGAATAAATATACATAGATAACGAAATAGAAAGAGATACAGCATGTAAACAGACACAGAGAGAAAGAGCGAAAGTTAAAAAGAAAGAGAGGGAGACAGAGATAGACTCTTCGATAATGAGTGTGAATGGGCAAAAGTATGAAATAGGAACTAATAGAAAGTAAAATAGAATAAGAAGGAGGCTGAACAAGAAGAGGAAAGCGAAACAGAGAAAGAAAGGTAGATATTGAAAGAGACGAGGAATGGGCACTTTGAGAGCAGGAGGAAAAGATATATATATATAGAGGTAAAGAATCCAATAGAGCAGCACTAAGATAGTGAACGGTAGAGAAATAGGAAGAGGGAGAGAAAGACAAAACACAAACACTGAAGGAAAGAGCGAAATAATAAAGAGTGATAATAGAGAACATTTACCGGGGCAACAGAGAATCGCAGAGAGCAGCGTCATTAATTCAATTTTCACGAAATAAACTCAATTTACATATATGTCTGTAGCTAATAATAATTCCCATTTGTATGCTTGGGCAGCTCTATTAAATATTTGTTTATTATTCCAATTGACTTTACATTGCATCCAACGACTGTCCAATGGGTCTTACAAGTGCTTAATTACATTCGCTGCCAAACGCCAAATGGAATGACGATATACATATTTACGAATGAGTTAATTCAATTAACACAAGCCAAACGCATGCAACATGAATGGTTTAAGCAATTAACAATCAAAAGCAAAAATATTTCAGTTAGAAACATTTGAAATACTCAAAATTGATTAAAAAACTGATTCATTTGGCAATGATTCACCCTGCGAACTATGGAGCGAACTCTTTGTCCATTTCTGCTGCAGTCTGGCAACGCCAAAGGCTGAACCTGTGACGTCACAAGTGCCCACGAAACAAGCGCCGGCCAATTTGTCATTGCTAACGAAGCAAAAGTAGAGAAATCAAACAAGTTACAGTTGCACGTGCACTCGAGTGAGTGTGAACGACTGCAAGACACCCTGTTGCATTAATATGCAGTATATATGTATGTACATTTGCAGATAACCCACATACCCCGCATTTGCATATTCAATGGGTGTGCAGCAAACTAAATGGGCAAATGCATTGCAATAGAGTAATTCAATTTATTAACACTTGCATGCAATGGCATTACATTAGATTAAATTGTATAATATATATAAAGATTTATATATATGATATACATACATATGTACATTTATACACACATTTTGTATGGCTTAGGCTGCAGCTTGCTTTTGGATTCGATCAAGTTTTTGCTTTTAGCCAATTCGATTGGCAATTTCATTCGCTGCGCTGTCGCTTGTTGTTGGCTTCCTTTTGGCCACCTTTGGACACGACCAGGCGACACTTCTTAGACATTGTTGTGGTTGTGTGTGCATTCTGTGTGTGTGTGTGTGTGTGCGTCTTTCCGGTTTGACTTTTGCCACTGCAGCGCAAATAAATAAATCGCAGATAGCATTGCTTTTCGTGCCGCTGCTGACGCACAGGGACAACAATGTTAATAACAACAAAAATAACAGCAATATGACATGACTCACATTGAAGCATACCTATCATAGACACACACAGATACTTATATACATGCAGTATGCCAAACTTACTAGATACTCTGTAATTCTCAAAACAATCAAGTGCAGTCTTAAAGCAAGTCTCGAGCAACTGGGTAAGATCTCTTGAAGACACGACCACTTAGATACTCATTAAATTTGATCAGAGCTCTTGTTGAGAGTCGATGTTAAGTTGATAAGCAGTCCAAGCGAAACTCCACTCTTTTCAGCAATTGCCAAGAACTGTTTCTAGTGACATAATGCTCAATGTGTGCTCAATACCCTGTAATTTAATTTCAAGTCAGCAAGCAGTTAAACTTAGCTCTGGCTCTAAAGAGTTCTTCTCTCTGCTCGACTGGTCAGATACTCTGCAATTCAGTTTTAATCCATGACGGAGCTCAGCTTAAGTCGATAAAAACTTTTGCTGCTATACTCAGTTTCTTTTTCGAAATGAATCTCAAAATGATATTGAAGCTTACGTTAATCTAATTACTTCTAGGAAAGTTTTGAGTTAGGAAATTAGTTATAGCATTTATGATAATAAACTTAATATAGAATTTCAATTTACAATTTAATGGCTGTTAAATTTTAAGCCACTTTATCTTTGGCAATGCCACATGCCTTTATAAAAGTGGCTGTTATATTTGACAGCTAGTTAGTTGGTTAATGGCTAGTTATGTCACGTAAGCCAATAAATAAATAATAAAGCCAATAGCCATAGGCAACTATAGCCTTCTTTATGAACTAAGTTAGCCTAGCTCAAGTGGAAGATCAAAGTCTGCAGGAGATCAGCAGAGATTGAGATTGGCGGAGAGACGTGACACTAAACGAAACCAGTTTCGGCAGCTAACAACTAGAATACATTTATTTGACAGAGCCACGTGAACATGTTCAATTACGCAACTTTTGCAAACTGTAGATGGCGCTGCAATGCTAAACATGCATGCAAATATAAGAGCTCTCTTTGCAATCAGAATTTTCATTAAGAAAAGAACAGGGTTGAGCCTTGGTTCAATCTTTTTGCAGCTAAAATTTTAAGAGATTTGAAAATGGATTCGGGTTAGCCTAATAATAAAGGAAGATGAATTATATTGTATACCCTGTAAATCGCTTCAATGCCTTGAGCGAGATACCTATGAGGATAAGAGGCAAATCAAAATTATATATTTATTATTTCTATCCCTATCTATAATTCCATCCCTATTTCTATCTTTATCTCTATCCATATATCCATCCCTATCTCTATCTCCATCTTTATCTCAGTTTGTACTGTAATTATATATGTTTCTCATACAAAACGTTTTATCGTTATCCATAATAATCATAATATTAATCATTTTGGTATAAATAAAAAGCTCACAAAGGGTATCTCACAGGCAATCAGTTGCTCTTTGTATGGTATAAATTGTTTTATAGCTTCTTTATTGTACTTGAAATTCTGTTGTACTTCCAATACTTTTTCACTTTTCTCCTCTTTTGGTCGTATTTCGCTCACAATTTGCACGAGAAGCTGTGTTTGATATCCTTCTAGCACTTTCCTTCAACTATCCCTTGACAAAAAGAAACAATTTTTGAACTGTTGAAAGTTATTTGAGCGTTTATGTAATTAAAAATCAAAGTTGAAAGTGTGCGAGGGGGGGAGAGAAAGAATTAAAGAAATGTAGAGAGTACGTAAAAGTAAAAGTATATTTATACAATATTCATTCCTGTTGAAGTTTTGTACGCACTCAAAATACTTTTCTCGTAACATCTTCAATAACCAATTTTATGCATATCTACCCGATTTAGTTTAGATGATGGAATATATACATCTCTCTTTATTTGCACAACATTCATTTGTTTTGCAAATAAGAGTATAAGAGAAATTAATGAAACAAAGAATAAACACAATTATTCGGTTGGCAAACAAAATTTTGTTTTTCAGAAATACCTAGAGTTAAGGATTGAGCAAACATTTACTATATTAAATTGTCTATTATCCAAGATTACGATTTACTAGTTAATCAATTGAGCCAACACAGCAACATAAGCAAATTAAATAAACAGAGCATAAAATTAACGTCAATCAAATTGATGTACTTGAACAATGTCCCGAGCAAATCTAACGCTCAATTGGCGTTGGTAAACAACATTTATAGTGGATGAGATATGTACATATACTTTGTATATATATAAAGGGTTTTTGTATATATAGGTTGAGTCTAAGTTCCTTAAATTGCAAGACGAAACATGACATTTTTATGTGAAAATAAATAATATTGAAGTTTTTAAAGAATATTCATATATAATAATATGAATACAAATTTATAATTTGAAATTGTGTTACATAAAAACTATTTCTATAATATGGTATAGTATGTAAATCAGATAAATATCTTTTAAATTAAGTTGAAAAGGCAATCTTGAAATACATTGTACAGTAGAATCCGGTCATAACGATGCTCAAAGGACCGTCGTTATAACCAGAAGTCGCTATAGCCATATACGTTTCCTCATATAAGTTTGTCTGGGGTCAAAAATTTTCGTCACAATAACGGGCTGAACATTATAAATGGAGTCGTTATAATCGGATTCGACTGTATATTATATATACATATGTATATAGACCAGATCTAACTTAGATATGCTATACCCATGTATCATATCTAGTCAAATACTATTTAATGGAAATTCTAAACCCTTGTCTTTTACATATATAAGAATATAGGGTATAAGCTTTTCGTTTTTTAGCTAATCATCTGAATCTCTGAATTGTTTGTTATAGCGTTTTCACCTGTCTACAAATTAAATATCCATATCTCACTCACTCTCCCTCTCTCTCACTCTTTATGCCTCTTTCTCTCTGAACATGTTTTTTCTTTCTTTCCGGAAATATTGCTATTTTGGCTGCCTTTTTCGAAGCATTTACCTAAATCTAAATCCAAATGTGAGTCCAAGCCCCGGAAACCGCAAAACTCATCAGCTTAGTCCAAGGGCTGACGGGCCCAACCTCCAAGCACTTTCACCTACCTCTGCCAAAACCAATCCAGTGACGCAAATCTATTGATTATTCTTGGGGCATATGCCACCCGAGCAAACAACAACAACAACAACAATTTGAGCATGGGAATAACAACAGAACATGTAACACATAACCACAAAAACACAAAATTTGTGGTAGCATTAAATAAATTCAAACAAAAAACCAAAAAAGCCACTTAGTCGACGTGTGAATACCCTTACTCATGTGTTTTAAATAGTCGAAAGAGAAGAATATATACAAAATATTTGAATAGAATCATATAGATACAGTGATTTATTATTATTAATATTATTATTATTATTATTATTATTATTATTATTAATATTATTATTATTAATAATAATTAATAATTAATTATTATTATTAATAATTTATTATTTTTAATATTATATAATTTCAATTATCCATATATGATCGTAACGTTCCAAATTTGGATTTTCTAACTCTTAAACTGTAGAGTATACAATTTTACTCGATTTGCAACGTAGATATATCCGCCATATCTTTTTGGCCTTGGATTTGCAAGGCGAGTATACATTCCATTTTTGCTTGGAAAAATCAAGTTATTCACGCCAAAATTAATACCTTTAAATGCATTAAGCTCTTAAGTTCATTAAGCTCTAGCAATTGTTTGTAAATTACTTGAGAGTCACTAAGGAAGAGAGATAGACCGCATGTGCGCAAAATAGAAAGAGCTAAATAAACTAAGCTGTCTTAAGCAGTCAGAAACCCTGAACATACAAGAAAGTATATAAACGGTGTACTATTTATGGTTTAGAGGATGCGTTATAATGCGATTCGAAAGATCTAAGTGAGAGTGACCGACTAAGAACATACCCTAACCTAACTTTTTTTTCTATGCAACAACAATAAAGAGCTTAATATTATATTACTTGAAATCAAGTGAATTTATATCGAAAATCAAAAAAAATTCTGGTCAAGTCTGCATAGACCATAAATGACAATACCAGAACTTTAATATATAGTATCTCTAGCTTTTGTGATCTCTAAATTAAATAAATCGCTATAACTTATTTCCTTATCGATTTTTTTCGATCCATTTCACGTTCTGCTGCTGATATTGGACTTATTCAATATACCCAATGCTCCTGCAAGCGATTGGGCAGAAATATACCTTCGCCTGTAGCACGGAAAACAGCTAACTAAAGTTCAACCCTAAGCTTATTGAATTTATGTATGTTTTTATACCCTGAACCCATTGAAAATGGGAAATCAGGGTATAATGGTTTTGTGAAAAGTATGTAACAGGCAGAAGGAGGCGTGGCAGACCCCACAAAGTATATATATTCTTGATCAGCGCGACGAGCTGAGTCGATATAGCCCTGTCCGTCTGTCTGTCCGTCCGTCCGTCCGTATGAGCAAAAGAATCTCAGAAGATATAAGAGCTAGAGAGCTGAAATTTGGCATGCATACTCGTGTATACCATAGGCAGTACAAGTTTGTCATATTTTTTCGATAACTCATCCGATAACTTTTTTATCGAGAATAATCAAAAAATCGGCTTTGTTTTTTCAGCCTAATTTGAACATGTTTAGACCTGTAGACTTCAAATTTGTGTTGTATATAAAGTTAATGGATACAAAGATTCTGTAATTTACGTATTTCAAGTACTAGAGACTTGTGCTTTGGAATGTACACACATACTAACCATATGATTACGCTTTGAAAGTTTTATTAAGATTGTATGTCTACAAAAGAAATTATTCAACAAATAAATTCTCATAATATTGTCCACATTGCAGCGCAGCCCAAGCACAGTCGCTGCTAACTGCGCAGTCAGCAGAGCGTGTGATATACGTGCGTGTGTATGCATGTGTGCATAAAAGAAGTGCTGAATGAGTAGAATATCAGCTTGGAGGGTTCAGGGTATCTCCCAGTCGAGCAGTCTCGACTGGAGCCTCCTTACTTGTTATTATTATTTTCATGTTTAACGTTCTTTATTTGGTTGTTGTTGGTGAGTGGGTCGAATGGGTGGATGAATGGCATTGTGTCGTAAATGTTTCAACGAGCCACACGTCGAGCAACAAGAAATGAAAATAGTTCATAATCCCCATTGATTGCCATGCCCCGACCGTGCGCCATTCCAAATTGCAAGTGCAACAGAAGCAAAAGCCCAAAAAGCTTAGCAAAATATCTTAAGTGTAACAAGCACATAGACACAGGCACACACACACACACACCCATTCGTATACACACACACACTTTCGATTCATGGCAAATGCAACTCAGTAATAAATATTCCCTTTTCCTGAAACAGTTTCATGAGTTTGATCTAGATCCAATGAATCTTATGCCAGACTGGTTGCTATACTAAATTATTGAGATCTAATATCTAGAGCTTATAACACCCGACTTCCATTAGGCGATTACTCTTTGCTCTTTGCGGCTTGTGTTTGACTAACTATTTGAGCAAACTAATTATATTATAGCGAATATTTGCGAAATGGCAAAGCAAAGCAGCTATAGACAAATATATATTTATGATTATATCTATATAGAGCATATATTTTGGATATATGGCATAGTAGACTCACATTTGACAGTTGCCGTTGATGCCAACAGCAATTGAAATTATAGAAAGGAAATATATTCTATGATATTTCCTGGAATATTGATTCGAATCAAATACTACAATATATTATATAGGTACTTATTTAATTCATATGCTTACAGAGAGAATATTTAAACCAGATTTGGACGACGATAAAGTAGAAACTGTGTTATATAGAAATAGGGGTTTACGTCAATGTCTAAATAGAGAAAACTAATTCAATTCGAGCAATGAAGTCTATGTAGGGGATACTAGAGTCTAGGAAACACATCGCAATGCTTTATTATGGACAAAAGACAATATCAGTACGATCGGAGAGATAAAATATATATATATTTATTTATATAGAATATATATTAAATCAAACAATGGAACAATGAAAAGACTAAGAGCATTTTGGACAAACCACTTGATGATAGACATCGAGCTAATCTAATCTGGAATTGTGGCTAAGCCGAAATCGTTTAGGATTTCTTTGTTGGACAGTCGAAAAGTGGCAACAGCGGCGAGAAGATGCGAAGCTCAAGGCGCTTGTTATGGATTCTGACTGTGATGCAGTTGCTCCTGGCTGCCGTTGGCCTGGAATGCTACGTCTGCGACTCGGCCGAGGATGCTGAGTGCGCAACACGGCCGGGCCAGCAGCTGGAGGTGGAGGAGTGCAGCCAGCCGAACGATGAGTGTGTGACCTCCATTACGGCGGGCCTGACGCGTCGCGGCTGCCTGCGTCGGCTTTATCCGAATGGCTACTGCGCCGAGCCCTGCGATCGCTGCACTACGAGCCTCTGCAACCGGCACGTCTTTCCGGTGGATCGGCTGCGCTGCTACCAGTGCAGCGGGGCCACCTGCATCGATGTGAGCACGCGGCCCGAGCTGCTGCTGCCCTGCCCGGTCTACAACGAGAAGGATCGTTGCTACACCAACATCTTGCACCTGAGCAACACGCAGCGCGGCTGCGAGCACACCAATCTGCCCCCGGACTGCCCCCACGTCTGCCTCAAGTGCAACTACAACGGCTGCAATGCGGAGCTAACGGTCAGCGAGAGCCACTGCCTGCAGTGCACGTCGAATCGCGTGGCGAGCAATCCGGACTGCCAGCGCGAGCAGCTGCCCGAGCAGCCGGGCCAGTGTGCACTGTCCAATGCCACTGTGACGCAGTGCGTCAACAAGGTGATGTATGGCCATCGGGAGCGCTGCTTCACGCACCATAATAACCAAACGGAGGTGCTGCAGCGCGGCTGCTCCACCACCATGGGCTTCTTCCCCACCGGCCAGCTGCAGGAATGCTATGGCGACAATTGCAACGCCCAATGCCAGGACATTGCCTGCGCCACCTGCAACTCCACCAGCGATCCCAATTGCCGCAGCGGTCATGCTTTGAAGAGCCAACAGTGCGCTCCGGGCACAACGGCCTGTTACTCGTGCGAGCAAGGTTAGGGTGAGTCTGGCGCTGCGTGAATGTGAACTAGTTCCAATTTTGAGCCAGGCTTGGGTGAGTCAGGCGCTGCGTTAATATGAGCCAGTTCCAATTAACCAATTCATTTGTCCAGTTTCAGCTATGAGCCACTCTCTCTCCCTTTGAACTACTCTCCCGTTAAGTAATTACTTTAATTCCAAATTTAAGCTCAGTCAGCAATTTTTAACCAAACCGAGACCCACACATGAATTGAAGTGTAAAATTGTCTATTTATTCTCTTTAGCTTCCACATATGAACCACTCTGTAAAATAATTATTTTGATAAATAACTTTCATGGGTTCTATGAATTTTTGAATGTTGAATTTACATTTAAATTTCGAGTTGAAATAAGATTTATATATTAATAGTTGCTATTTTGCCAAAATAAAGAGAAATTGCGAACTAGTTCGCAGCATTTACTACATCAGGAACTGTTTATTAACTGCTTGCAGCCCTGAAGCCACACACACACACGCATTAGTCACGCGCAGCCAACTTAACGCATTAGCATATAACAGTTATGCTTCTTTCCAGATTGTTTCTTGTTTCTTTTGTTCAACAATTCCTTTTCTTATTCCCATTCGTTTCCACAGATACGCTGCTGCGTCGCGGCTGCGCGGATGCTAACTTCCTGCCCGGTAGCGGCGAGGCTTGCCAGCTCTGCCGCAGCAGCGACGGCTGCAACCGCTGGTCGGTGCGCAGCTGCTATCGGTGCAATTCGCTGGAGCACGGCGACGACTGCGCTGCCATGCAGCTGCCGAGCGCCATGGCGCTGAGCAACTGCAGCAGCCCAGCCGAGCTGTGCGTGAGCACCGTCCTCAGCCGGCTCCAGTTGGTCTATACGGTGCGTGGCTGTGCCGGCGAGGTGCCCGAATGCACCGCTAACGATCCCTACTGTGTGCGCTGCAATGGCACCCTCTGCAACAGCGTGCCCACCAAGTGGCAGCAGCAGCAAAAGCAAAAGGAGGAGGAGGAGGAGCAGCAGGGGCAGGGGCAGCAGCAGCAAGCGGTGGGCGTTATAAGGGGCGTGCAACGCCTGCTCGGGCATCTATGGCCCAATCTATGAGTAATTAGCAACAAATTATTGCAAAGCATTTGTTCTGATGAATAAACAATAAGAGAGACAGAGAGAGAGAGAAATTTCACACACAGACATACATATACATATATACACCCCAAACCTTATCCCTGTGCAGCGCCCTGAAATAAAACTGTAATGTTGATAAGCACGACGACCAGGCGGATGTGGAGGGAGCGAAGAGGCGGCATTAACGGTTGCCAACCGGCAACAGAAAAGCCCAAAACAAAAACAACAAAAAAACGCCCCTCAAAGCCAGCGCTAACGAAAAAGAGAGTGAAACAGCAAGAGAGATGGAGCGAGAGTGAGAGTTAATGGAGAAGAAGTACGTGTATGAGAGACACTCAAAAAACAGGGCTGCACGAAAATAGGGCTGGGCAAGTGCAACTGCAAACGACATAATATCACGAACTAAACAAATCCTTTTATGCATATGAATGATCTTGTAATGTAATTCCAAGCAAAATATGACAAATTTTCAAAATAAATAAATAAAATATATAAGATGTGTATATAATAGATATATTCATATATATAAACATTTTATTAACCATAAAAAAATAAATAAGATATGTAATATATAAATTCAATTATATACATATATAAACATTTTATTATTATTTTCAAGAATTAATTAATTAATCGAATATATTTTTATAATTATATTACTTGCTCACAGGACCCACACTTCATCTACTATAAACAGAGGAAAATCAATACAAATCAATGTTCCCAATTTGTGACTTTTACAATATAAATGATCTCAAAAACTGCTGCGAAAATATACATATATTGTACATACATATGTTTGGTATATGTTGTTATATGTTTATCTGACATGAACTAAATTCATGAGAACGGAAGAGAATCAAATTACATTGCAAACAAAACAAAGGCAATAAAATTGTAGCTAAACATTTTAATTATTCGGTTATATAGCCATATGTATGTATATATATATATATAGATTATAGTATATGTACAACAAATATTCAGATAAGCTGGCTTTGCATTATCAAGGTACAGCTTAAAAGTCCGGTCACTTATAATCGTACAAAATAAACGAATACAAAATGAGTATATATATGTACATACATATATAGACTTACATATCAATGCAAACTATTATCAAAGTGTAAACAAACGTATGTCAGAAATAGCCCCATATACATATATAAATAGTAATAATACGTAAACAAAATGAGCAATAATGTGTAAAAACGAACAAAATAAATAAATCTTTAATATTTCTGCCTAAGCATAACGCATGCCAAATTTCAAAATTTGCCTGGAGAATATGATCGCAAATAGATAATTTAAATATGCACTTTTATGAGATGTTTGCCATTTAAGTTCCGTATTAATAGAAAAAGTAGTTAAACTGGTTCACAAACGAATTTATTTCCAAAAGTGAACCGATAAAAATAGCAATAAAATTGGTGAATCATTTATATTAACAGCGTTTGAGTCAAGCAGATTTATTATTTATAGTTAAAGTTTAAAAGAAGTGCAAACGAGAATTCAAATGAACCGCTAACCGCTGCGCTTTTAACTAATGAGAGTAATATAAAACGCGCAACGAAAGTAAAGCAAAACAGAAATGCAAAAAAAAAAAATGATTTGGATGTTTGTGAAGCTCTGATTACTGTTGCTTTGTTTGCACACGTGCGACCAAATCATAACAGTAAGTGTTGTTCTTGCTACAGTACATACATAATCAAATAATGGGCCACCCAGCAACTACAACAACAACAACAGCTACAGCAACAATAACAATGACGTGCTGCCAGCAAAAAGTGCGAAAATTCGTCAAAAAAAAAAAAAACAAAAACAAAAAAAAAGTCTATATGAAAAATAAACATTTGCCAATTTGTGGCGTGTGCTCTCACGGGGCGGGAAGCGAGAGGCGCGCGAGGCGTGGCATACACAGTTATGTACAGTGGGTGAATTGTGGGCTGACTGTGGGAGCTGCGGGTGTGTGATGCCAACGATAATTAAGTTGTTATCCGCCGCGCAACAAAATAGCTAAATTTATTAATTGAATTTGTGCGCAGGTTTCCGCAGCTGTCAAAGAGACAGAGGCAGAGACAGAGACTGAGACAGAGAGAGCAAGGGAGAGAGAGAGAGAGTCTGAGTGGGGCATGGGGCTGAAAAGGTTATCACAACATGGGCGACCACCACAAAACTCAATTGTATGCAGCATGCATTGATTGATAGCATTTGGCTGAGCGACGATAACACAAAATGTCAAAGATGCAAAACAAAAAGCTTAGCAAAGGACAGACTGCAAATGAAAAAAAAAAAACAATACAAGAGAAACGAACAAAAAAACTGAGAGAGCATATAAATGAGCGTCTGAGTGGAGTGACAGAGAGCAGCAATGCATGCAGAGCGGCTGAGGGAGCGAGGGCAGCATTTTAATTAGCTGGCTCTGTAGGCGCTCATGTATGTATGTGTGCATAGATATGTACACATATGTCTTTATGTAGAAGCGCGCAAGTGTGAATGTTTGCATGTAAGTGTGGCTAAACAATGGTATAAATATTACGCCATAACAACAATAGAAAGAAGCTAAAGAAGAAGCAGCAACAACGGTTGCCAGATATGATGACGGCGAATTACAATAACAGCCCTCTCTCTCTCTCTCACGCACACACACACACACACAGTGCACAGTGTTTATTGATTCCAGGACTTCCAAGCGGCAGTTTTAAGTTTCTTTTCCATTTCGAGTGGAGACGTTTTGTGGGTGGGTCGCTCGCTCACTCACTCTCACTCACTCACGTCAGAGCAGCAGTGCGGGGCGGGGCGCGAACAAACAGGTCAAACATAAAGCTTCCTTGAAGTTGCTATGGCTTGTTTTTCATTATATTATGCTATTATTTTATTGTTCTCATTCAGAGCGGTAAATACTTACACCTCGAGTATGCGATCGCCTTTCTTGATGCCCGCCTTCTCGGCGGCTCCGTTCTCCAGCACAGCGCTGACATGCTGCAGCGGAGCATACAGCTCGCCATTGATTGAACGCAATTGGCCGCCCTCGGACACCTGTCCGCGCACATTGAAGCCGAAGCCAGTTTCCGTCTTGTAGATGGTAACGACACGCGGTCCATTGGCGGCTGTGATGGTGGTGCCGCTGGTGCCGTTGTTTTCGCTCATTTCTGTGCAGCCGGTACGCTGCGTTTCAAGCAGAGCACAGCCGAGACACACACACACACGGACGCACGCTCACACACCCACCCACACACGCACGGACGCACGCAGCCTAAGCACAGACACTGGCAGACGGCAGGTTTTGTTGTTGTCGTTGTGGTTGTTGTTATTTTACACAATTTTGCTATGTTTTTGCGTAACTTTTGTATTTTTGCAACTTCTTTTTACACACAAACATTCGCGCGCGCACACACACACAAACGCAACCGAACGAACATGAATATAATCGAGACGAACACAAATACACATACAGGCAAAGGCAGGCCGCTGCGGCAGCCACTTTTACTTTCCGCAAATCATACACACACACACAAAAAAAAAACAGAAATAATAAATAACACGGAAATTGGTAAATCGGAGTAACTTGCAACTGCAACAGAAATCGGTATCACACGCCGTGATTTGTTAAGTGAATTAGATGTGTGTGTGCGAGTGTGTGTTATGGGCTAGCAATTGCAATTGTTTTTAGTTTGCATTGCGATTAAACAGTTAACAGCAAACAACGTGCGTAGCGCACATTAATTTTGCATATTGCCTCTGCTTTCCTTAATTCACTTTTGCTTTCGCCTCTTTCGCCTTTGCCTTTGCCGTTGCCACTCGCCCAACAACTGTCAGGCGCTAGTGTTGGGTTTGTCCATTAGGTGAGTGCACGATGAACTGAACGATACAAATGAGCTGACTCCTCGTGACCGGTTCAATATCGAGTTGAACAGCAGGCGGCTCGCCACCAAATGGCAGCACTTACCACAAGCCGAACATGCCAAACACAATAATTTTTATAATATACGCGTATTATTATGATGCAACTATTTATTAAGATCACATTTGATTTATTTTAACATAAAACTGGTAGAAAAGCTTTGAAACAATTTTAGATAGATATTCGATAGCTTATTAATAGCGATGAACCAGTAATCGATTACAATCAGCTGGCTTTTGTTGACGATTGTTGATAAATAAATCTAGTGTCGATTTTTTTTAAAATGTCATTTAACATTTCGAATAGTGGAACGCAGAAGCTGCAGCAAACTTTACTGAAGTACACAATTTCCGGATATTATTAATTCGTTTGTATTTAAGCTATACCTTGTGTTTTTCAAATTCTTACGACGATTACCGCAAATATTCAAATTTTAATTTACATATTATTTCAAGTCCTGGAAAGTGTAAATTAATTAAACACGGAAACTCACAAACTTATTGGCTAATAAACAGACAGTAAAAATAAGAACCGAAATACTTTTTAGGGCTAAGAATTTGAATTAGTATCAAATATTGCTAGAAAAAAGAGCCGGTATAAATACATATAGCTAGAAGAAAGGGAGGCCGTGATCAAATTGCATGTGCAAACATAAAGTGAAGATGCGGAGAGGAGAGAGAGATGTAAGGGACGGCACAGGGACACATTCATGTCATACATGAGCTCCGCTGAGTAGGCACAACGGGCAGCCATAGTGAGTCCGGGACTGTGTGTGTGTGTGTGTCAATCAAAATAAAAATACATACATATAACGAAATTCATATCAAATTCAAGAATTGTCGAGATCTTATAATTGTAAGTATTATTATTTTGAAATTTTTCTTTCTTTTTTCGTAGGCATATTTTGAGTCGCCTTTTGTTTTTGCTGTGTTGACGTTTTTGCCAACATTTTTGAAGTTTAAGTAAATACATAGAAAAGAAACGAGATACAAGCATGACAAACGAAAGCGGCATACGTTATAACGGTAAATCTTACGTTTCGCCAACGAAGAGTGTGTAAAAACGCACAGATAGAAATGTATCGATACAAAATTAGTTGTGTTTGGTTTAAAAGAAAACGTTTTTTTTTTTTTTTTTCATTTTTTCAATTTGTTTATATATGTTATATGTATGTAATGTTTGTTTGTATATAAATGTGTATGTGTGTGTATGTATATATATGTGTATGTATTAACGCTGCAATTGCTGCATAAAACCTAAAATCAAACTTAAGCCAAGTGTTAAAAAGAAGTTATGAAAAAACTTTTTGCTTAGATTTATATAGGGATAATTAGATCAGTTGCTTAAATAATTAGTTTAGACAATTTCTGCTAAATACAACAATACACTTTAAAAAAAAAAACAGCATCAAGTATTATTTATAATCGTAATAATCATTTAAAAATTAAATGACGTACAAACCAAGTTTTAAGCTCTAACAAAAAAAAAAAAAAAATAATAATAATAATAACAATAATAGACTTAATAAATAGGATTTAAAGTTGAACGCGGTATTAAAATAGAAAATTATCATTTTAATTTTTTTTTTTTTTTTAATCAATTAAAATAAACATTAAATGTGATTTGTTTTATGCTTAAGCCTAGCGCGTATATATATATTTATATATATATTTTGTAATTTTTTAATATTTTGTTTTTGATTTTTCTGTTGTCGATTATTACGGCATTACGAACTGAACTGTTAGCTTACGTGGCTAATACAGTTATTAGGCTATAGACTAAATCGACTAATAGCTAAGTATATAAACTATAAGCTACAAATTGTTTTTAATTTTTTGCTGTATACTACATATTTATTTATATATATATTTTTTTTCTTTTTTTTTCATCTTCCTTTTCTTTTAACTTTACACGTAATATAACTAAAGCTAAAGTGTTTTATGCTTAAATATTAGATGTTTTTTATGCTTAAAAACTATATAAATACAGCCCTATACAAACCCTAACAGAAAAAAATACAATTCATATATATATATATATAATAATATAAACCCCACGACACAGAAAAACTTTCACGACAATTTCGCTATATACAATTATGTGTGTATGTGTGTGTTGTGTGTGTGTGTGTGTGTGTGTGTGTGTGTGTGTGTGTGTGTGTGTGTGTGTGTGTGTGTGTGTGTGTGTGTGTGTGTGTGTGTGTGTTGTGTGTGTGTGTGTTGTGTGTGTGTGTTGTGTGTTTGTGTTTCACTAGAAATGTGGAAATTGACATATCAAATATTATACATATGTATATATAACTATATATATACATATATACATTCGTACATAGATTTCTGGTTTTGGCCAGGCGCGCTGCTGCGAATGCAATGAATTCGTAGGATTTTAGAACAGATCTTCCATTCACTATATATATATATATACATACATATACATATGTATATATATATGTATATACACATATATATATAGCTCTACATCGAACATGTAAAACTAATGTTCAGTTGAGGGCTGGTTTAGCTTTTGTGTTGTTTGTTGTTGACATCACAGACATATTAAATGTTGTTGCGAGCTGTTGTTGTGGTTGCTGCTTCTTCTGCTTCTGTTGCTGCTTCTGCTGCTGTTGCTGCTGATATTGCACACTCAGTTCCAGAGCAGCCAACGTTAACTCTTTGATATCTCAAGCTGTTGCTGGTTGCGCTCCCACCACTCCTGTATGCTGTTGACCATTTGGTGTCGCCGGAAGCGCATCGATTCGCTAATGCACATATCTATAAAATCGGATTTCATCTCCAGATCGCCCTTCACCATATTCAAATGCTCCAACAGCTGGCTATAGTCCCGGCCGGGTCGTCGTATATCTCGAAAGACCTGCATACGCAAATCGATATTATGTTTGCGTGCTGCTTCGCGCTGTTCCTCGGTCAGGATCAGTTCCGGTGAGCTGCGGATGTCGCCGTTGTCATTGATAGAATTGCTGTTGCTGCCAATAGTGTTGTTGCTGGCATTGTTGCTATTGTTGTTGTTGTTGTTGTTGCCGACGTGTGTCGGTGATACTTTGGGCTCCAGCTTTGGGCTACTGTTGTTGTAGGCTCGATTATGATTGCTATTGTTGTTGCTGCTGTTGTTGTTGCTGCTGTTGTTATTGCTGCCGTTGTTGTTGCTGCTGCTGTTGTTGTTGGTGTTGTTACTATTGGTCAAACCGCTACCCCAGCTGCCCCAGCTGGGCGTTGTTGTGCTGCTGCTGCTGCTGCCGCCGGGCGTGCGCTTCAGTGCATCAAAGCAGTTCCACGATATGGGATCCATATCCATGCGAAAGCCATTTACTAGATGATTATTGCTACTACTACTGCTGTTGTTGCTGCTGCTATTGCTGCTGCTGCTGCTGCTGCTGTTGTTGTTGTTGTTACTGCTGCTACTGCTGCTGGTGTTGATTGTGCTGCTGCTGTTGCCATTGTGGCACGTTTGCAATATGCGCGAGATCTCGGAGGCATCATTGATATCGTTATGACTGAAGTATGTTGTTGGATTTGCCGTTGATGTTGTTGGGCTGCTGTTGGCCGTTGTTGTTGCTGCTGGTGCTGCTGGTGTCACGGTTGCCGCCGCTGCTGCTGCTGTTGCTGTTGCCACTGGCACTGGTGGCGGCGACAACATTGCCGCATGCTGACTCGGATACCCATTGGGCACCAGCAGCAGTGGTGGCATTGCTGCCACGCCCCCACCAACTTTATGCATTCCCGTTGCGCTCTCCAGCATATGCAGCGGACTGTCCATGGGCGTGTGCGTGCCCACATTGCTGCTATAGGCCGCATGCTGCATGGTTAGGCCATTGAGTGGCAAGTAGAAGACGCCGCTGCTGCTGTTGAAGGCATTGTGATGGCTGCTGTTGCTGCTGCTGCTGCTGCCATTGTTGATGCTGCTGCTGCTGCTGCTAATGCTTAGCTCAGGCACACCATTGCTGGCCGCAATTGCTGCGATGCTGCTGCTACTGCTGATGCTGCTATTGCCAGCTGTTGCTGACATTGCATCAGGCACAGCTGCTGCTGCTGCTGCTGTTGCTGGGATGTTGATGTTGCTGCTGGGACTAACAATCACGCTGGTGCTGTTGCTGCTAGTAATTACGCTGTTGTTGTTGTTGTTATTGCTACTGCTGTTGTTATTATTGTTATTGTTGTTGCTGTTGTTGTTGCTGCTGCTGCTGCTGCTGCTGCTGCTGCTGGGGTTATTGTCCGCTTCGTTGGCGCGCTCTTCATCGCTGATGCCATTGATAAAGTTGTGCACGTAGCCGTTGAGAGGCGTCTCCTGGTCGCTGACTTCCTCCTCGCTAAAGTCAAAGCTCATGCGCTCCGGCGTATGCGAGCCAACAGACATGCCGGAGTCGCTGTTGCCACTGGCGATGCTCATGTTGTTGCTGCTAAGGCCGCTGCTGTTGCTGCTGCTGCTGTTCATGATGATGCTGCTGCTGCTACTGTTGCTGCTGCTGTTGCTGTTGATGCTGCTGTGGGACGCCTCGGAGCCGTAGCTACTGTTGCTATCCTCATCGAGGTCCAGCTCCGACACGCTGCTGCTGGCCGAGCCGCCGCCTATCGAGCTGGGGCTAGAGCTGGAGCTGCGCAACGAGTCGACGGACATGCGCCGAAACTCAAAGGCGCGTGGCAATGGACCCGCTTTGCGTTTGCGTCCACGCGACGTGCTCTCCAGCTTCTTGGAGATGGGGCCCATGGGGCCGCCCAGTCCATTGCCGCCGCCCAGCATTAAGCCGGACATGCCGCCGCCACCGACTGGGCCCATGCCGCTTGAGTTGCCGCCGCTGCCGCTGGACGAGGGCGAGTTGGCGCCGTTGCCGCCGTTTGAATTGTTGCCGCTCTTCATGGGCGCCACATCGCTGAGATCGGCCTCATCCACCATGACCATGTGCTTGTCCTTCTTATACGG